TCTGCAAGTTCTGCGTCATGCCTCTTCACAGAGGGGAATGTTTCCAGAAATATCACACTCTGAAGCACTTCTAGGAGCTCTGGTAAGTCTTCTCCAAAAATTTTAGTTCATAAAATTAATTAGGAGATTTTATATTAATTTTTAAAGTGAACAGTGCACAAGTTAAGGTAGTAGGTTTAAAAACGCCGGTCCCCAGGGTGATTTAAATATTTTAATATTTAATATTTTAATATTTTAAATATTTAAATCACCGGTCCGCGAAGTGTTAAGAGCTCAGTGATGTCAGCATCGCTCACATGGGGCCTGGGGACTTAGATACTGCAGCAAGTAGCACTTCACTATTACCAATTGGTATGCAAACCCCTGTGGCTTCTATTGGAACAAGCAAAGGCAGGACTACATGGTTGTGGAGAATGCCTTTTCTCGCTGCAACGGCAGTTCCGCCTTTTCTTCCTGGGAAGCGGTCAGTCTGATAAAAGTGATAATTTGGAATAAAGAATCTATCATGGGGTTTGAGAAGAGCCACATCTATATGTAAGTCTTGCAGCTGTTTACTGGGCTCATAGCACTGTCTCCAGATGCCATTTGCAATAAATGCTATGACTCTGAGAGGCCTATGAACTTTAGCATCCATTTTGTTGCATTAAATTAAGTAACATTTTTGTAATGACCATTATTCTGACTTATTGTGATATAGCTCCACTGAGCTCTGTCATGCTCTGATGCACTACAGTGGCTACAGTGTCATTGTTAGACGCACTGGGAGCCTGTACTGACAGACCTGTTTTCTGCAATTCCTGTTGTGGCACCTGCTGCTGCACTGCAGTGGCTACAGTGTCATTGTTAGACGCACTGGGAGCCTGTACTGACAGACCTGTTTTCTGAAATTCCTGTTGTGGCACCTGCTGCTACGCGGGGTGTTGGAAGCTTTTCCCCTCTATCTGGTGGTGCCTTTGTTTGCTGGTGTTGATTGTCTTGACGCAGTGCAGCTGTGTAGGATTGCTCTGGTGAGGTGAACTTAGAGAAGAATGTCCTCCCAGCTCTCTTGAGAGCTTGTTGTGCTCTTCTCCTTTGCAGTTCTCCTTTCACATGGCTGCAACCTCGGTATGATGCTGAATGAGGTTTCTGTCGTACTAGGGTGCAATTGCAGCAACTCGACATAGATTCTGTATTCGTCTTTTTGGGGCATTCCTTATGCAGATAGCCACCACCGCATCATAGACATCATGGGGGTTGCTTGCAGTTGGCCTGGACATGGTCGGAGTTTTGGCATTTGTGGCTCAACACTGACGAATATTCTCGCTATGTAGCTTCCGCACTGAGCACACAGAAAACAGTCAATTCCCCATCAAAGGACTCTATAGAAATCTGTTATGTTATAGTTATCACTCTTGCGTGACTTCACAGCCTAGTGGGATGGGGTGTTTACCGAGCGTCACTTAGTAATTGGATGAGTGGGGATATGTGATGTCACTCGCACTTCCCGTTGCACTATCCAAGTGTTTACAGAGTTGTTGCCCAGCAACAGGCCAATACAATCCACAACTCTTGTGTTGCGCGCGTGCCCCTAGGCCTCTGTGGCTCAACAATTCCTGCATAGGGCCAATACGCCACAATATTTTAAATCAATGTTTCTCAGTAAGTAGGACTTGTTAGTCAGCTGAATGGTATGCAAGGTCTTGAAAATTTGACCTTCCAGTGAAAAAGATAAAGCTGTCCCTGTAACAAGCCATGGAGGCCCATATGATTGTGAGATGTCAATGCTCCCACATTTTCTAGACAGTCAGTTCACAGATGGCGGTGAGGTTGTCAGCCTTATTCTCTGGCTGGCAGCCCTTCACTCCCAGGAATATTCCTGGTACTCATATCTGTTAGAGGCTTAGTCAACCCCATTGGCACAGTGCAGCTGGAAGGAGTAGGTCAATTGAAAATCCAATGACCTCATCGGAAATCAAACCTATGACCTTCTGTCTTGTAGCATAGTGCCTCAACCAACTATACTACCACATGTTCTGACCTTCTAGTTATGATAGTATAATATTAAAATATATATAAAGGGAAACATTCACTTCCTGGAAAAAAGAGGGGACGCTTTGACTTTTCTGCGTTGTATCTGCCTTTTTGACGAACTGACCAGTTGATCACAGAATGGAAGAAGCTGAGCATCACTGATCATGTTCATCTTTGCCTATGAAGACCTCATGTTGGAACCATTTGTGTTGTGATCAGGCTTGCCCCTTTGTGAAGCCAAGTTTAGGGGCTTCTCAGCATATACATAACTAGAGTTGTAAATATCTGTGTCCATGCTTGAACATGTGGGTACATAGTCCATTAATTTGTTTATAATTGAATCTCTCTACTATGCATCATAGAATACCACCATATATGTTCTGATGGGAGCCATTATATTGGGGAAATGCAGTAGTGTAGTTGGGTGAGGCACTATGCTATAAGCCAGAAGGTCGTGGGTTCGATTCCGAATGAGGTCATTGGATTGTTTTCAATTGACCTAATCCTTCCGGCTGCACTATGACCCTGGGGTTGACTCAACCTCAGACAGAAATAAGTACCAGGAATCTTCCTGGGGGTAAAGGAATGCCATCCCATAAGGCTGACAACTTTACTGCCATCTGTGAACTGATTGTCTAGAAAATGTGGGAGCCTCTACATCTCACAGCCCTGTGGGCATCCACGGCCTTTTACAGGGATAACTTTACCTTTTACCTTTTTGCCATTATGTTACTTGAATGTGTCATAATGTTGATGCTGTATTTGGGCTCCGGCCTCAAATGGATGTGATGGAACAAGAAATTGACATATGGAATGCATTGTTGTACCGTTGTCTTGTTGTACTGAGTATTTAAAATTTTGACAATGATGACTATCTGATTATGTATGTATATTCACATGTTATATTGTATTGCTGACTTGTTCTATGTCTGAGGCAGACGCCTCTATGGATTTTGTAGAACTGCAAATAAACGAGTGAATGAATGCTCTCTACAGGTTTGTGGGATGTGCTTTCTGACAGTGGACATGAGAGTATTCAACTCTTTCAGCCCCATGTGGGACCTGTCAACTGTACCAGTTTCTGTACCTACAGGGCAACCAAAATCTATACCACTAGCCATGATGGAACTGTGAGATGTGGAGACTTGAATAAACTTGTGTTTTGTGAGGTGAGTTGGTACATACCAAATCTTGTACTGAATACTGAAGAAATAAGGGCATTATGAAAGCCGCTATTTAATTATCAGTTTAAAGGCATGAAAATACTTGCAATTTGAAAACTGTCAGTGTGTATATATAATACAGAAGTTATGGTAGATACAAAGGACATATCAAAACATATTTGGTGAATCTGAGGTTCTCACAGCAGTGAGCCCTGAGAAGATTTCTCATTTCTAATTCATTTTATTCCCTAGATGAATATTTTAATTGTAATTTTAACTAATATAATTACTATGCCTAATTTTATGTATAATAACCACTTGTTTTAATTATATGTATTTGTGTCTTTGTCTGTTTTATATTCTTATATTTTGTGACTTTTTTTATTGTTTTGACAGTTTCCATATCCAGGGTTTTGTAACCAAGCTAGCATCTACAGAATGTGAATAAATGATGATGATGACTGTGAAGAGTGTGACAGTCTTTTGGGTTGTAACACTGTATAGTATGGAAAAGGACTCATGTTTTGGTAGGAACATATCTCCTCCACCTTCAGTGTAGAAGAATGAGTCAACCAAGAAACCACCTGAAGCAGGCTGCAGCTTACTGATTTCTTTTCTGGCTTGCCCTTTGACCCTGAGGTGGGGGTGGTGTGTTCCTCCGGTATGCCAGGCTGTCTTCAGACTACACCATATAAAAACCCAGAAGGTCATACTATTCATATATAGTGAAGTCTGCGTACACTTAATCAAGACCTCGTATTTCCTGTGTTGGACAAACTTTTTCTTGAGGCCATTGTGTTTCGTGTAGACCCATTGCTAAGTTATGAATCTGTAAACAATGGCCGTTGTTAGGTAATGGCCATACATAGTAGCACAGGAATTGTGTTCTCTGTGCTGTCCAAGCAATAGCCATGTGATGCAACAGTAGAACTTTTGGAAGCGGTGTTCTCTGTGTGGTCTGTGCAGAGGCTATATGATGAAGAGCATCAGCAATTACTAGAGAGAGTAGGAGTTGTCAGACAGTTGCCAGCCATTAAGGACATGAACATTGAAGCTGAGGAAGCTGCGGTGTTGGAAGCCCTTACTGGGTGACAACCAGTGAAGATACAGCAGTCTGAGAAAACTTAATGCATGCTCTAGTAAATTGTAGAATATGTGAATTAGCAATAGTGCTCTAGTTACTTGTAGTTACAATCTGTAAGCATTTAGTAAATACAGTTACCAGTCCAAGCCTTGTGTATAGTCACTCATATGCATCACAATTATGTTCTGTTGTGTACTTCCCAGTTGTTCTCCAGTTTAGTGCCTTTAATTGTGTAGTACATGCCATTAAGCTGTGTAAAAAATAACTTTAAAACAATAGTTTCAGCAGAATGTTAGTAGTTATGAAGATGCTATTGCTTTGCATCTCACCAGAACTTTGGGCCGTTTGCATTGGTTGGATACCTTTATTATTGAAAGAAAGTGGCTTCTACATGTACCACGTCCTTTAATATTAGAAGACTGCATTTTGTGCACAGTGTATTTATGGACTTTGTATGATTCCCAGAACAGACACTGACTATGTGATTTGAGGTTCCCACAGCAGTGAATATGATGAGTACTGTCTTCTGTAATGTGATGCTGTGTGTACTGATGTTTTGTAGGAACATATTGCCTCTATCTTCAGGGTTGAAGAGTAAGCCAAGCAAGCAAACATACAAGTAGCTAGCTTGGCATTTAATGCAGTCACAGAAATATACAAGGTGGTTCAAATATGACCGGGACTGATTTGTGTGTAAACAAGCCGCACTGAGTGAAGCCACAACCTCCACCCTCCCTCCTGTACAGTCATGTCTGGGAGTTGCTAGAGTGACGAGCAAACAGAAGGTACCACGGAGCATGGAACAATGCATTGTCATCAAATTCCTCAGAGAAAACGTCCCGTCCACTGAAATTCACCACAGACTCCAACAACAGTATGGGGAAGAGTGTCTCTCACAGACCCATGTGTTTGAGTGGTGTAAGTGCTTCAGAGAGGGCAGAGAGCACGTGGAGAATGAACCACATGATCATCGGCCGCGAACACGCGTCACCAAGCCAAACAGTAATCGTGCAGACGCACCTATTCATGAGAATAGGCGCATCACTATCAAGGAACTTGGAGGAATGCTGTCCATCAGTGTTGGTAGTGTAGAGGACATCATGAAATACCACCTGCACTATTGCAAGGTGTGTTGAGAATCTTTGACTCAGTGCCATGCGAAGCAGGCCCCAGCAAGTGTATATAAACAGAAGNGGGGGGGGGGGGGCACACAGAAACTGAGGACTGATAGGGGAGTTTTTTTGTGGTAGTGTGTGACTAGCAGTGTACTGTGAGGCTAGAGAGAAAAAAGTTTTTGTGTTCAGAGCGGGCAGTGTGCACCGACAGATGATAGTGGTTGAACTGGATGGAGAGATGGACGGTTCTACATTCAGGTGAGATAGTAATAAGGTGACATCGCAAGCATACCCTCGAGGTCTTGTTCACGACAAGGTGAATGCACGGTGGGTACCACGCACTTTGACGGACATAAACAAAATGGCGCACATGCAAGCTGCCAGTCGTCTCTTACAGCAGTTTGAAGATGAAGGTGATGCATTTTTGAAGTCTACAGTGACCACCGATGAGATGTGGGTGCACTACTTCATTCCCAAGTCCCAGCAGTCATCACACGAATGGCGGCATACCAGGTCTCCCAAACCCAAGGGAGCGCGGAGGAGCCATTCGGTAGGATAAGTGATGGCAACATTCTTCTGGGACTGGCAGGGTGTTATCCATGAAGCCTTTCTGACAGATGCCAGAACAGTCAATGCAGCTTATTACTCAGACCTCCTGGCAACAGACGTGGGAAAAGATCCGATCCAAGTGGAAGACAGGTGGAAAGCAGGTAGCCTTCCTTCAGGACAATACACACCCCCATACGGCCAAAACAACAATGGAAACCCTCTGGAAACTGAAATGGAACCTTCTGACACATCCGCTGTACAGTCCCGATTTGGTCCCAAGTGATTTCTACCTGTTTGGAAGGCTCAAATCAGACTTGCAAGGCATGCGGTTTGTGGACGACGACGCCGTCATCCAGACTGTTCGGGAGTGGATACGCTGCCAACCACAAGCTTTTTTTAAAAGGGCATCAGGATGCTTCCAGAACATTGGAAAAAATGTGTTGGCTCCGGAGAGGAGTACGTTGAAGACTGACATGGAAGTAAGTGTTTGGCAATTATGGTTTTTAAAAAGAATCAGTCCCAGTCATATTTGAACCACTTTTTAGAAGGATGATGGGTAGCATGCATGGTTCTTTATCATTGCAAATGTATTGCTCACTTGAGCACGAGAGATGATGTTTCATAATTTTGTAAAGTTGTGTGTGTGCTGTTTCTTTTCAGGTTTATGCCAGTGATGATAAACTGTTAAGAAATCACACTACATGGCACTGCCAGATGGGAGAAAGCAGTATCATGATTGCTCATGGTTTGTATGTAATGTAACTGATAGGCTACATGAAAGTTATCAATTTTGGCATATTTTCTGTGATATTTAATTATCTGAAAGACTGTGTAAAAGTGTGTTATGACTATAACATATTTAACTTTTTCTGTAACTTTCATTTGAAATATTTTTCTTTCTGATAAATGGTTATTCAATTAGGGGTGAGTTATGATCAAGATGCTCGTAGAAGTGCATGTAGGTCTTCATGAAAAGTGTCCACTATTGTTATCTGATTTTCATAAAAATTAGGACAAAATTTTAGTAAACTCTGCAGTATCAGATTTAATGAAAATTCATTCAGCAATTCTTTTGTTATTAGGTGCAGACAAACTTTTCTTTGCAAAAATGCTATTTAGTTTGTTTTTTCTGAGTCTTCATCAGTGTTCTAGTTGTAACATGTTTACCACTGGATGCAAGTATCATCGGTTCATGCCTGGCTGACGTTGACAAAAGTCCATAGCACAGCTTTCTTTGGAAGAGAAGTGAACGTAGAGGGGGTTCCATGTTGTACATTTTTGGCATTTGAAAGAACCCTATACTCATAATAAGCAATGAGTACTCTGTTGGTAGATGCCTCTGCAGTTGCGTCTCTGGCAAGTAAGAGTGGGAACAATATGCAATCACCCAACCCAACCGAATGGGACAAGTGAATAACGTAACTTGCCCAGGTGGTGTCTGAATAAAATATGAGTTACAAATACGCCAACAAGTTGAGGTTAAAAGTGAAAATGACTTTTAGTTGTCAGAGTGCAGCAACCAAGCAAATAACCAACCTACTTTGTTCTTTATATTTTTACAATGAAAAAATCACAGAAAACAAACTGTTCTTTTGAAATTCCAGTTATACTTTTACAGTTGCTTATTACAGAAGAGTAGAATTGTAAATAAATTGAAAGTACCTTAACTACAGGAAAGTGAGAAGTGTCTCAGAGAATCTCCACCTGTCTTGGTGATGTGAGTTCATTTGGACTGCGCATCACATGTCTATTTGCTGAAACCAGAAATTTGAGGCAGTGTAAGCAGATAAGGCAGATAGGCACATGGACTTACAGTAATATTCAGTTAGAAGATTCAGTGTAAAAAAAAAGTAAAGCTATCCCTGCAACTGCCGTGGAGGCCCGTAGGGTTGTGAGACATCAAGGCTCCCACATTTTCTAGACAGATGGCGGTGAGGTTGTCAGCCTTACATGCCGACCACCCTTTATCACTAGGAAGATTCCTGGTACTCATTTCTGGTAGAGGCTGAGTCAACCCCTGGGCTATAATGCAGCTGGAATGATTAGGTCAATTGAAAAATCCAGTGGCCTCACCAGGACTTGAACTCACGACCTTCTGGCTTGTAGCATAGTGCCTCAACTCACTATGCTACCATGTGCCGAATATTCAGAGGTCCTTCAGAAAAATTAAATAATCAGTGTCATCAGTTGAAGTTGTTTGATTTTTAATTTCTCACAAATTTTCTTAGCCTGTTGAAATGTACTTCATGTTTTTTCATGTGTAGGCCTGCGGTAACCCCAAGAAAACAAGATTGCAGAAGAAGAGTGCTATCTTATGGGCTCTAGCACAGTGTAATTTGGCAAAGTCCACCAGTGTTATGTAGGAATGTTGGTGGACTGTACCAGACCACAGCATTGCATTCTGGAAGATAGTACTCTTGATAATTACTTCTGTCAGAATTTCAGACCCAAAAAGATTGCATAAATTTACTGTATAGTAAATAGTCCATGAATTGACTGTGTGTAACACTGTTATGATGGCTTTTGAATGGTCCAGCAGGTCTAGAATGACAATGTTGAAATGCTAAAATACCCTTTATTTCAAACCAGCCAGTAGCAGCTGTGACACTGAAATTTGGCTCATGTTCTATATAGGCTCTAAATTTGCTTTCTTAATTCTAGGTTAAATACAATGCAACGGTGATATAATGAGAATTTATAAAATTTGTAAAACTGCTTCTTGTAACGAGTACTCATAATATCTGAAAATGGTTCAAATAGATGATCTTCAAAGCCCATCAATTAATTATGCAGGGTATCCCAGGAGGAATGTGCCAGACTTCGGGAGGTTGTTCCTTATGTTAAAGTATGCCGATATAACCCAAAATACCTATGTCCAAAGTCGAACGGTTACGGAGATAATGGCCAGAGAAGTGTGAAACTTTGACAGGTTTTACACACTTGTTGATTAGCAAATACATATTAAAACTGGCAGGAATATGTGGTTTCTATAATGTAATAATGTACGTAACATCAAACTAACTTGTGGGTGACATGAAGCCATTAAACTGAACTACAAAAGAACTCGCACGACATGTCATAGTTGTCCTTAGGTTTCCAAGCATTATACATGACACATGCATGGCAAGCGCTGACGTAACATGGCTGACTGCGCATTCTGGTATAAGCCGACTACATAACTACTAAAATACAGTACCTGCTTTATACTAATTGTTCAAAGTGTCCTCTGCCAGCTGCAATGTCTTCCAACAAACATGGTAACTCACTCCTCAGGAAGGCTTCATACGTGTTTCCAGTTAAATTTTTGTGAAACACAAAAGGTCCGAACAACCTGTTCCCAAGCACACCACACCATAAAATCTCTTTTGGAATTTCGTTACCATTATCTCATGTGGATTATTATGGGACCACATATGCACATTTCATAAATTATTTACACCATCCAGGGTAAAAGACGCCTCCTCACTGAATAAAATGACGCTTAACAGTTCGGGATGAGCTTTTATCCAGTGGCAGAAATCCATATGCTGAGCATGGTCTCCTG